CCCAGCCCCGCGCTGGGGGCTCCTGCCAAGCAGCTGCTGCCAGAGCGTGGGCAGAGCGGGGCGGCGGGTGGGGAGCTGCGAGCGCACGCGGCGTGATGCGGTGGCCAAATCCCAGGGCAGGGAGGAGGAGGGCCCTGGCACAGAGACCCTGTGTTGGAGAGACCCTCTAGGTGGGTGAATGAACAGACCTCCCCATGGCCAGGAGGAGTTGCTTAATCCATGAGGAGGGCAGAAATCCAGAGTCAGCAGGCGGGCAAACTAAGGCAAGGAAAAAAGGATGGACAAGGGAGGAGTGGCTCCAAGTGGGGAGATAAAGAGGGAAGTCAAAGATTAGGTGAAGGAGCACGAGGCCAGAGGGTGCCAGATGTGTTGCCTCTGGGGGAAAGCAGAAGAAAACGGACTGGGAATCAAAGTGAGGGCTTGGGGCTACTGGTGCAGCTCCCTAAACGGGCTGTGTTGTCTTGCCCACCATCCAGGCTCACCCCTGGCACAGGAAAGGTGTTGGCACCTTCTGTGAAGCCTCAGCTGCTGCATTTCCCTGGGAGTGAAAGCCTTTCCCAGCATCTCTTCCAGGTGCCGCAGCTTCCCTTGGAGTCCCTGGCAGCGGGTGCATGCAGCGAAAAGCAGCTCGGTGTGGTAAAAAGCCCCTGTAATAGGGGGGTTCGTGGGCACCCCCTTCCTTCCCGTAGGCCTCGTCGCCCCCGGCCATGGCAGAGCAGTGCTGTCTCGTCACACTGCTCAGGCCAACACGTGCGTTTGCCTGCATCTTCCAGTGGAGCTGCCTGGTTAATGAGCTCTTTGGAAACAGCAGTGTGAGCGCTCCGCTCGATCTGCTTTATACTTCAAACAAGACTTTTTTTTTTTCTCAAGCAGCAAGCAGAGCTCCCGCAGTGCAGGCGGGTTGCAGAATGCACGCGCTTCTCCCAGGGCGAGGAAGATGAGGAGGTCACCCTGGGATGGAAAGGCCGAGAGGAGGGCAGCTTGTTGCCTCTGCTGTGATGGCAGCAGGTGGTCAGTGACCGAGGAAAGTAATTTGTCTCCAAAGGGCAGTTGGAGGCCAACTGGCCTGTGATTCAGCAGCGTTGCCAGTAGCCTCTGTGCGAAGAGGGCTGGCAGAGCAAGGGAATCGTGTTTTGGAGGCTAAGCACCAAAAGGCCGTTCCCGGCTCGCAAGTGGCTGCAGGCCGGAGCCAGGGAAGAGGCTGCCGTCGTGACAAGGGGAAACATAGTTGGGAACCGAAAATGAGGAAAGTGAAATGGGATCTTCTGTGTGCGCCTGCATGCATGCAGATAGTTGGGAACCCCTGCTCCACACGAGCGGGGTGTTGGGAAGGGGAAGTGGACACATGAATTAATATGACTGTTTGCTCTCAGAGCAGGCAAGGGGGGATGGCGGAGCCACACAATGCTCCATCCCTCTCAGCTCCCCCCTCAGTCCCCATCTCAACACCTCGCTTCACTTCCAAGTGCTGTTTCCATAACGCTGCTCCTCCATCATGTCGTCTTCTTTGAACAGCAATCCTGCTGGCTCCCATCCTGAAAGATGTGGAGTGTTTGCAGCTCCCAGTGCAATGATGATGCCGGGGTACTGAGCAGCCCTGGAATCAAGCCCCGTAGTAGCTGCTCATCCTCCTCCCTGTATCAGGGAGTGCTTTGCGAGCTCTCCGCTAATACCCCTCTTGCAGCCAGAGCTCCTCCCATCTTCCCGTTGCCAGAGAAACAGCCACCTTGGCAACCTGCTGTCATCCTTGAAACACACATGGAAAAGTCTTCCTGATTGCTATGTTTGATCCTGCAGGCAGATCTGGAACATCACTCAAACTGACACACATCTTCAGTGACATGACTACCTGGGGGACCGACGAGTGCCTACACATGTGGGGTGTGCGTGGGTTTCACTGTGCAGCTGTGTGGGACTGCAGATATGTTTGTGGACCTGGGAGTGTATTGATTTTGTTATTACTATTACTATTATTCTTTCCTCCCCCTAAGAAGAAAGGAGAGATGTGGCTGGGAAAAAAAAACCAAAAAAACAAAAACAGAAAAATATCCCACAAAACAGTAGTCAATAAATGGAAGCCATGCTCCATGATAGCCCTTCCACTTGGAATAACCAAGGGCAAGAGCTGGTGGGTGACATGCACCCAGTTTTGGGCCTTGCTGAGCTTTGCCTGTTACCCCCAGTCCCCATGGTGCTGAGTCTCAGCTTGGGAGGTGGAGAGGTCCTTACTCTGCGTTCTGGGCAGGTTTGAAGTGGAAGGTGGCAGGGGAGTTGGTCTCCACTGCCTTACCCAGAGCAGGTAACAGCAAACACTGTCAGTGTGTTCCAGGGAGAGAAAGACATTGGAGCTGCCCTCTAAACATTTCAGGGGAGGGAAAAAAAAATGTTTTTCAGCCAAGTTCAGGCCAGGATTTTCCACATTCTGGAGACCTCTGGAGTTCTTCACAACTGTCGGGCACCAGATGGGGAACAACCCAGTGGGCAATGAGGTGTGCTTAGACCCAAGTATTTTACTTGACCCCTGCTTCCCTTTCCCTCCGCAGTGCCTGGATTCTCAGCAAGTTGATGTCTATTCAGTTCTTGAGAGCAAGACAGCTGAGCCATCGTGCAGCAGGAGCACCCCGGCGCAGGTGAGGGTTGGGGCGCCGCTCCTGCAGGATTCCCTCATGCACAGGGCACATGAGGGGAACCCCACAGAGTCCCCATGGCCCCGGCAGGCAGCGGGTCCGGCATTTGCTTCACCCCTCGCAGCCCCATGGAACGGGGCGGATGGGACACGGCTCCTGCCCAGAGCTGGGCTGCACGTGCATCCACACACGTGTCTGCCTCCTCGGCCAAGTGCACGTTCCTGCAGCACCAGCGTTTCTGGAAACCCTGGCTCTGGGCAGAAGCTTTGGCGAAGGATGGACCCTGAAGGATGTTGGGAGGTGTGGGGGCTGTTCCCTTCTGGTGGCACAGACCTTTAGGGGGAGCTGAGCAGCTGCGGGCCCCGCTGCTGCCCTTCCCCACTTACCGAGACAGACGAACTGTCCCACAGAGTGGGGAGGTTGGTGCACTGGGGCAGAGCCTGCAGACAGGTTTGCTCTTACAGAGCTTGGCTACTCTAAAGCACCTGAGACGTGTTTCACTCTAACAGACACTCGGATGGTCTGAACAGAGGCTGGGCTGACATAATCCTTGTCGGTTCTGGCAACAGAAAAAGGCAGGGTAGCTACACTCCAGCCTTGGATCTTCTACCTGGGCTGGGAATTGTTATGAGTTAGAGGCAAAGAACTAAATTCACTCAAGTGAAAGTTGCTGCAACTCTGAACAGGCAGCTGCAGGTCACCTGTGGGGCTGTATGAAGCAGACCTGAGGTGCGCAGAGCCCTGTACCCTCTGGCAAGCACTAGCTGCATAGGGCACCCCAGGAAACATTTCCTTCCTGTCCTCAGAACTTAGTTGCTCACTTCCCCTCCAGAACTCTTCTCTGCTTAAAAAAATATACATTATTCTGATGTTGGGCGTTCCTGAAAAATGACTTCTGCTTCCTACCACCAGTGTTCTGCTGCAGAGACTCCCCAGGTTAACGTTTAGGAAAAGGTGGTCAGAAGTCAAGGGGCTGCCTCTGTCAGAGCTATTTGCCATGTCTTCGGCTCCCAAGGCCAGTGTCATCCTGCAATTACTGCTGTGCCACCACAGCAGTAGCAGCAGAGGCAGTGGCAAGTATCTGATTACTGCAGCTGATTACTGAGGGGAAGGATGTGTCCTATGTCCCAGGGCATCTTCTGCTTTGGAGAATAGAGTACTCCAGAGCACCTGGAGCGGGAGCGTTTGCGTGCTATCTTACCAGACAGCAACAGGTGAAACCTTTGGTGTCTCCGCATGCTTTGGAGATGCCGGCACTGAGCGCTTTTGTAAAACGTTTCCCTTCAGTGGTGGCAACAGAGAAAATGCTAGTGTAGGTAGGGCTTCCTTCACCCCGTGGCATTTCAGCGGCTTGCTGCGTAACCTTGCTTACAGCAGGCCTGTGCCACACAGCGCTTAAAATATCAGTCTGTCAGCGCCTTGTCTACACAAGGAAGGGCTGTGAGGAATAGACTCAACTGCTGAAGAAACAGGATTGAGGAGGTCAGGGAATTCCTCCTTCACAGAATCCAAAGTGATTTATTTTTTCACCAAGTCCAATCCACCCTCCCCTCCCTGTCTGACAGGTTTTTGGGGGAAGAGTGACAAGCAAAGGAGGCATCTTTATCCCTTGGGCTGGATTAGTCACGTTCATCTCTGTTGGAGCAGCATTTTGCGGTGCAGTGGCTTCCACTTCAACAGATCACTTATAGCCATTTCAAACAGAACAAACATCAGTGCCTGCTTATTAAGAATTAATTAATCTTCTTTTGAATAATTTTCTCTTTTTCTTTTTTTCTTCTTCTTTTCATCATTCTATAGACACCTAAGAAGCAAGAAACTCCAGAAGAATCCTGTGATACATTGTATGAGAATATCTAACAGGAAAAAAAAACTGACCCTGTGTGGACCAGACATCTTTCTGTAAGACAGAACTACTCTCTTACATCCTCAGTTCTCTGCAAAGACCCACAATGACTGCAGGGCACAGCCCCGGGGACTTCTGAATCCCTGGCTCCCTCTAAACTGCCCTTCATTAACAACCGAATACAGCTGTTCAGATCCCGCTGGGGCTCAGTCTGTGTTGACACAGCACAGCTATTTTGCAGCAAAGCCATTTGATGGAAAAGATGTTTTTGTCAAGCATTCACACGCTGTGACTTAAAAACTGGTGCATATGGGATCTGTGCAGGTTTCTCTCACCTGACCTGGTTGAAATACTTGAAACCTGATCATCTGTAAGTGCTACCGCAGTCCAGAGACCTCCCTGCTTCCTGACCTGTCCTTCCAGTCCTGACCCGCAGCAGTCCATCTGATCCTGTGCCCAACGGCTATTCCTGGCACAGCCATCAGGGCTTCACACATAGTTTAACCAAGATCCAAGTGTCCACCTGCCTGTTTTTCCTTTCCTGGAATCCCTGTGGTGAAACATGCTTTCCCATAATCTGCTAATCCCATCAAGTAGTCACAGATGCCTGCTGTGAGCATACCCAGCCGACTCAAATTGGTGCCTCCGAGTAAATGCTTTCCCTTAAGCAATAGCAGCAGTGCGCGGTGAGGAATGGATGTATGAACAGAGATAAAGCTGCAGAAAAAAAGAAGGCAGAGGAAATATCCCTGACTGGGGACATGTGTCAGTGCCCTTTCCAGAACAAAGTCCTTGGAGGCAGGAGCCCAAGGAAACTCCCTCACTGGGGTTGCATAAACCAAATGATTCTGGGGCCAAGTTCCAGCCCAGAGAAGCTGCTGTTGAGCTCCTTGACTTCCTGGACTTCTGGGCAACAGACATTGTTATCTCTAGGGATCTTGCCTGCTCAGTAGCAGCAGAGATAGTATCTCTGCCCCACTAGAATCAATGGGTTTGTCTTTGGCTTCATATGGCCAATGTTTCCCAAGAAAGGTCCCTTTTTTTTTCCCCACTTCCAGCATTCGGCTGGATAGATCAGTTCTGGAACTCTCAATTATTGAGGCGAGGCTGGAGGCCCCACGTGTGCTTCTTCTCTTCACACTCTCCTCTCCCCTGTCAGCTGGAACTCGCCTACCATCCACCATTTGTGCTGGTGCCTGTTTTAGTTCTGTTAGGGAAGACGTTATGTTAAATATCCATGTAACGTGATCAAACCAGCAGATCAAAAAGCCAAGGCTGTTTTATCTCAGTTTAAAAAACAACAACAAAATATCAACCAAACAAGACCAACCCCAAATAAGAATATGTAGCATAACCTGAGAGGGATCACAGAAAGCTCTTTAAAGAAGAAGATCAAATTAAAACTGAGCTGCAGGGTCATAGGACCCTCTCTGGTTGAAGATAATGTTGCTATGCATCAGAGATAGAGGCTATGGAAAATATCTCCGGGGCCTCCAACCTTCCTATACTATGTTTAAAGACATAATCCGCTTATTGCTTTGCTCTTTTTATTAGAAGAGATTTCAAACATGGAATTTGGACTTTCTTTAACCACAGGAAAATGCTTTTTCTCTTTCCAGTGTTGAGGAATTTATTGCAGAAAGAGCAATGAATAGACAGCATGGCATATTAGATCCATTTTCTATTTCTTAAATGATTATGATAATTTTAAATAAGTATTTTTGAATTTAGTGTTTATTAATATGACCAGAGGAGCATAAATTGGGAGAAAATGTTTGTGTTCCCCAAAGGATTTATGGAGGCTGGCGCAGGTATAACAATTACTTTCCTTAGCCAATGTGAAAATGGTGGAGGTGAATTATGAATATATTGCAATATTGCAATTAAATATTGAGAAAAAGGTGATGAATTAGATGAAGAATTAAAAACTTTCAAACTAATACTGGTTTGAGAAGTTTTTCTGTGTTGCATTTTTGATTTTATAAATGCTAAAAATAACAGGCAGTACTGGAAATACCAGGCCAAGGATCTCACTTTGCAGTGAGCTGATTGTTTTTGTCTTTCTATTATGCTCTAAATAGGAAAGGAAAGGAAAGAGGAAAGGAAAGGAAAGGAAAGGAAAGGAAAGGAAAGGAAAGGAAAGGAAAGGAAAGGAAAGGAAAGGAAAGGAAAGGAAAGGAAAGGAAAGGAAAGGAAAGGAAAGGAAAGGAAACTCTAAAATAGAGTTAAAGTGCTGGAAAGTGACAGGGGAAGTCACTGTGTTGATCTGAGTGGGTTTTAGATACCCCTGCAACAGTAAGGACTGAGAAAGAAGACCAATAACAACAACAAAACAAACAAACAAAAAAGAGGTAAGTTTTAAAGCTAAGTAGCCACAAGCTAGTATCACTTCTTTAGTGTCACACATCATGTGAGCTGCAGTAAGTTTGAGTGTGAGAAGGAGAAAGGTACAAAGAGGTACAAAGCAGCTGATTGTGAGAGAAAGACTGTTTTTAAATACGACACATTTTTCCAAAGAGCTATAAGAAGATGCCTTCAGGCACAGGTAGGAGAGACTGGTAAATACAATTTACACAGTATTGGTATAACTACTTTGTAAGAGGTATTTGTTCAGAAGAAGGGAAGGAAGGGAAGGAGGGAAGGAAGGAAGGAAGGAAGGAAGGAAGGAAGGAAGGAAGGAAGGAAGGAAGGAAGGAAGGAAGGAAGGAAGGAAGGAAGGAAGGAAGGAAGGAAGGAAGGAAGGAAGGAAGGAAGGGAGGGAGGAAGGGAGGGAAGGGAGAGAGGGAAGGAAGGAAGGGAGGGAGGCAAGGGAAGGGAGGGAGGGAGGGAAGGGAGGGAAGGAAGGGAAGCAAGGAAGGAAGGAAAGGAAGGAAGGAAAGGAAGGATGAAGGAATGAAAGGAAGGATACGAATGGATGCAGAGAATGAGTATTATCAACAAGAGGAAAGGAGTTAATTTTGAAGTGCTGAGCAATACAGAAAAAAAAATAAATTTAAGGTCAGCTCCTCTAGATCCATAAAGGTAAGAGGTGATGATTGTGTTTATTGGGAGTGTTTATTCCACACAAATTTTGCTTTAAATTGAAGGTTTTGAAAAGATTTCTCCTAAAAAATGTGTCTCCAAGGGCCACAGCTCTCCTTGTTTCCCCCAGCATGAGCTGTTATGTGCAGAACACACACTCAGATTAGGGTGGAATAAATTTGGATTCCCACGTCCCAGGAAATTATCCCTCTGTATTGATGGTATTTCAGGTGAAATGGAGACCCAGTGTCAATATGAGCAGCAGCAGGAAGCAGGAAATGCACTGTCTTCTTCTAAAGGAGGTGTCCTGATGCTGCAAGAATCCTTGCATCCTCACCAGGCCATGGTCCCGAGACATGTGCTCTGATCATCTTCAGCTTGTCTGAGCTAGCGTAGTCACAGAGTGTTGGTGACACCAAGATATCTAGTCACTTTAAAATGATCTCTTCATGGTCCTTCAGTCTTCCAGCAAATCCTTGTCTGGCACGGCAAACACTGGATGTACTTCAGTGGTCCACTGCTGCTGGATGAAACCAGTACACCAGAATGCAGTTACAAGCTCTGGGGTGGCTACCTTTGGATAGTAAGAAATAGGCCAACTCTATTTTGCTTTTTATCTGTAGACATGAGAATGTTTGTTGTGATGGATGACTACAAAGAGACATGTTCAAGATGAAGCCCAAGGTGTTCTCCTTCATTGCCTCTATCTTCTTAATCCTCTTCTTCTCCTTCTCATGGGTGTCACTGTTAAACACCTTATGGCAGTAGTGCCTAAACCTCCAGCTAGGAGTAGGGCTTTATAAAAGGAGGAGCCTCAATGGTTATTACTGCCCTTGGTTGCCCCACTCTCCCACCCAGCAGTGCCCAAAGCGTGTGTGAACCTGGGCAAGGGCAGGGGTCTCTTCTTCCCCCTGAAGGACTTGGTATTTCCTCCGCCTTCAGCTGCTCAGTGACCCCGAATGACAAGGGATTTAGGGAAGGCGGAGAGTGAAGCCACCAGATGGTGCCCTAGGTCCTCTCTGCTCCCTCTCCTGTCCCCTGCCTGCCCACAGCCCTTGGCAGCTCCCCTGGCAGCCCCCCAGCTACAGCCTTCCCATGTGTGGGTACATAGAGCCAAGCTGGGGTGTCCCCACCTGCAGTCTCGAGGCCAGTGGCACCCTGCACTGCTCTGCGCCATGGCCCAGAGGCCACGAGCGCACAGGCAGGGATGGAGGCAGGAGACGCAGTCATGAAACCTGGAGAAAACGCCTCACTAGATACCTGAGCCTTGGCACAGGGCTGATGACGAAAGGCGGCAGGGGGCACATTGTCATCTGAAACACAGCACTGGCTGGGAGCCTCTGCTGCCTTTCCTCACCAGCTGGGAAAGGGGCTTCTTGTCTTGGGTTTGGGAAAATAGTCAACAGCAAAATAAAGAACTTTGGTAGCTGCTCCTCTTGGCTTTGTTAGGAACTGCTGGTTCTTCTCCTTTTGTCTCCTGGGACTGCTTTGCAGTGAAGACTCACATAGAGGTACCTGGTAGGGATAAACCTGCAGGGCTGCCTCCTTCTCGGACTTGAGACAAGCCAGTCTGCACTCCCTGTTAGGGACAAAATGGTTCTTTTAGTTAATGGTAAGGAGAGATGAAGGTAACTACTAGTAACTAGCACGTTACTAGACACTTCACTATTAGTAATGGGGATTTAAAGCTGCCAGCCTGCTCTGCCAGCTGCATCCCTGCAGGGAGCACAGTGCTGGGGGATGCGGCGGGGGATAGGGTGCAAGGGCGCTTTGGCAACACCTGGCAGGTTCCAGGAAAACATGACAAAGAACGGCAGGTTGTGAGCTCCTGGTGCGAGCGCTGTGGATGCAGGAGGTCAGCCTGGGTGGTTGCAAGGGGCATGGGAGCAGCAGGGAGGAGCTGCTGGGAGCTCCATTCCCGGCCTTGGCAGGACGGGAGCCACGGGGAGCTGCCACAGCCGTGTCACCCAGCTCAGGCAAGGAAAGCTTTTCCTCAGCTCGCCTGCTTCTGAACCTCTGCTGGAGCTCTTCTTTTCCTTCAGCTCTCCAAATCACATAAATTGTGCTTTACAGCTCTCGGACACATGCAGATGTGGCTGTACAGCTGGTGGGGCCAGGCAGGTCAGCTACCCGGCTTGACGGAGTCACAGTGTAACTACCCAAATTGGAACAGGGTGAGCATGCAAAAGCTAACATATGTGCTTGTGTAAAACACTCTGGCTTTTAATAACCAGCTAGGGCTTCTGTTTTCGATCTGAAAGATTTGTCTGCCTACAATTTTATGCAGTGATATCTGAGCACTTCCAGGGGTAATGATAGTTCCCAAAATACCTGTGCGACAGTTGTAGGGGAATTAGCCCTGTAATGCTGCTAATGGTGCTTTACGCTGACACACACCTTTAAAATCAAGGATTTCAAAGTCCCTTGCAAAGCTCAGTATGATGTTTCAGTTTCAGATATGAAGAAGTGGAACCTCAGGAAGTTACATGACTTTTCTAAAACTGCAGAGGGTCAGAGACAAAGTTGGGGACAAAATTCAAGTTCCTGAACTCTGCTAGGTTGTCCAGCAGCTGGGTAAGCAGGAGCTGTTGAGCCCCTCCCAGCTAAAAATAAATGATAAAATAAAATAAAATAAAATAAAATAAAATAAAATAAAATAAAATAAAATAAAATAAAATAAAATAAAATAAAATAAAATAAAATATTTCCCTGAGTCACTACCATCACTTTCCATTTTTGATTTCTCGCATAGGTATTGATCAGGCTTATATCTGCCTGTCTGAGATCTGTCTGCCAAGGTACAAGAGCTGCAGGAAAAGTTACTGCTGTCTTTTACGG